GAAAGTTCAAGGCAATCAAGTGTGTACACATTAGAGAAATTATTTGTCACTTCTGCTAAGGATTACAGTCTGTGAGATTAAGTCTTAATGAAGGTTTCAAAATGAGGTGCTACGACTGACATAACGCTGTATTTTTCGCTACTTCATCTTAGCGCCAGCATAGTGGAATAAGTGAGCCTAGTTAATATCTTGTCCTTCAAAGGAGGGATCACCTATATGAATACACTAATTACCTATCACCAAAACAACGCTACAAAGGAGCCATGAAAAGTAGGTGGAAACCTTGACACAAAGAACAAACAATTGGCATAGGAAAGCGTACATTTCACCATGTTGAAAAAAAACTAAGATGGACAGCTTGGCCACAAAGGTAGCAATGAATGTGGGAGGATAAAAACAAGCACTCCAAATGTTTACGTTGTGTAGAACAGTCCCAAATAAACTCCTTGAAAGACCCTACTGGCGGGCAGACAAGGGATGAACCCAATTAAAATCAGCCTATTTCAAAGTCCTGTTGAGATAGTACTCTATGTTCCTGCCTCGCAGACAGTCATAGCCCAACCAACGGTCACTTTGGTCGCTTAGTCAATGTGTTACAGTGCGCAGACCTGGCACTTTTGCTACCTGATCTTCCAAGTATTCAAAATGAAACTCATGCATCTTAATGCGCCATTAAAAGTTATCGTTGAAACGATGAAAGTAGCATTGAAGATAAAGTGAAGACTAGGTTTGGCTTTGGTCATTCTCTAATCTCCTCTATTCTCCATGACTCATCTAGGCGCTAAAACAGTTCAGTCCATATTTCACGGGAATAGCTTAAAATGTTGCCAAACAAAGTGCAATATAAGGGTTTTGGGATGCACTCACGAGATCGCTTTCCCACCAAAAAAGGGAAAATGGTAACCTACATTGGTGGCATTTTTGGGTGGATCACAGAAAAAGAAGGTATTTTCAATCATGAGAGAGTAGCGCGCGTCCATGTGAAGGGCATTTTTCTTGCGCAGCATGATCTCCAGGTAGATTTGCGTGCGCCGATGCGTAGCCGGTGAACGATAAAGGAAGCGGCCACAGGTGTCCAACAGTGCACAAGTCATGTCAATTTGATGATGCACAAAGTTGGGTAGCAAGCGCTTCACGCAATTCAGCGCCTCATCCGCTGGAAAGACGCGGAACTTCACCAACTCTCCTGGTCAAATTAAAATGGAATTGCGCAGTTAGAAAATGCATTTTCAAGCAAGAATTTCGCAAGATACCAAAATGTCGTAACTCTTAGCAGAGCATAAAGTATGAATTGCCTCGTACATTTGTTCCTGTCTATCAGTTAATTTCGATTTTCTACGGTACGCTTGAGCAGACGAATGGCAACGCAGTAGCGAATATGGCGCTCAAAATAAGCCTAGGAT